TTGAAGGAAAATAGATAGGAAGTCATTAGCGCTCGTACAAACAAAATATGGGGGTAAGTGTGAACTTGACCCCCAGTATCTTGAATATTTGACAGTTATTTTCTGTTTTGTTCTCCTCACACGATGTAACTCTTTGTGCTGAAGTAATGTTCCAATTTTGAGATTAATATCTTATCAAATACGCGAGTAATTAGAAAAAAACAGTTTTTAATTTCCAACTTTGACACCCTGTATACCGAATATGAAGGGCTAAAATGAAAAATGATATTTAGAAACTCATATTGTTTTTGTTCAAGGAATATGTGGTTAATGGATTGACCTCCTTTTAGCGGACACCTTGTATAATGTAGTGATAATATACAGTATGTATAGCCCGATGGAATGAATTCATTATTTTGGTTACTATATATATTCATGAAAAATCCCGAAACACGTCGAATGTAACATATAAATTGATATTCGCCAACGTGGAAATGCGACCCCTATCTTCAACCCCCTTCGAATGACAGGTACAAAAACCAATTTTCCAAATGGAAAGTAGAGGCTTGTGATATATCGTTCGAAAGGTCTCTTTGTTCTCTCTTCAAAAATGTTATCGCTCTCAAGTTTATTGCAACAATTAAGATAGAAGAAAACAAAATCATGTCGTTACAGAAATTCGCTATAATACAATCAAAAACGAAAATGTAATACACAACGTAATAAAATATTTAACACTGAGAAGAACTATGGATGTAAAAGAAGTAGATGTTCAAATTGTTCACTTCGAACGTCTTGGCAACATTCTAATCGTAAATACAACTGTCGTCTAACATTATTCAACATATCAGGCGTGGTGGACGTAATCGCCAGCGTTATTCGTTCTTTCAAGTCATTTAGATCAAAATGCTTCTTTTTATTGTACACAATGGTCTTCACATATATCCCAATAAAGAAATCTGATAATGTGAGATCAGGTGATCGTGGTGGCCATTCAATCGATCCTAGCCTCCCTATCCACCGATTGGGAAATATTGTATATGAAAAAGGACCAATGATATGGTTTCCAATAATCCCTGCCCACACATCACCCTTTGAGGGTATATTGCGTGTGCTCTTCTCTCATCCACTAAGGTCTTTTTGTTGATCAGTAGCGGCAATATTACCGATGAGCATGACTGTGAAGTGAGAGAGTTCACTCATCAGAAACGTTTTCTAATTGGATGATATTGTTGTCCAACATCTCCATCATGTTTGCTCACAAAAATATGTTCTCCTATCAAAATCGTTCTCCATGAGCTCCTGAGTTGGTATCATTTTGTAGGGAAGCATTTCAATTTTTTTTAATATGTTCACTATCGATGTTTGGCTAACATTGAATGTAGTGGATGCCTGCCTACCACATGTATGTGGGTTTACCTCAAATTCAAGTATCACATCTGATTTGATATCATCACTAAGTGCATTGGCAGCTTGTTTTTTCATTTTCCTTGCATCACCAAACTCGCAAAACTGCTTCTCTATTTTACTTATTGTTTACATTAATATTCATTATGTTGTTGTTCCACCTATTTCTGGTCTCGAAGAAATATTCAAGAGTATACCAACAAAGCCGAGTAGAGTGAATCGAGAACTGTTCTGAGAAAACCATACAATCCAAGTTCGCATTCATAAAAAAACGAATGAGAATTAGAGGTTATTCCAGGATAAATGCTAGGATTTCGAAAATGAAATCACCAACAAGAACTGCAGCAGGGCCTATCACCTAATTTTCAAATCACTGAGTATCGCTGATACAGTGATTGATACTGAACAGGTAGTCATATTATACGACGGCCTAGCTGGAGTGCTCAAAGTTTCTTCTTCTCCTTCTTTCTCTTCTTCTTCTTCTTCTTCTTCTTCTTCTTCTTCTTCTTCTTCTTCCTTCTGTTTTTTAAACCTCTGCCACTACCTGCTACTGAGGCTAATCATTGACGCCGGTGAGCAGACTTCTCCCAACAGGAAATTTTGCCGAATCCTCTGGTGTTCCAACCAGAGGTAGGAAACTTTAACAAGTCCAACATCCATGGCCTCGGGACCGTCGGCTCAACGTCCCCTATAAAGGACTGCATAGAGAAAGTCCCATTGTTCTAAAATTGTTCAGTTTATCCCTCTTTGTCATGAGAATGGAAAGGAACGACAGTTCGAACCATTGAGTAGTTGGTACTCCTGTTAGATCGGTGATTGAAACGTCGACATCAAAGATATGTTCTGTAAACGCATCTGAGAGCAGAGTGGGGGAAAGAAGATTTTCAGTCATTTGACCTCTGGAGCAAATAGATAAATAATATAAGAAAACACTCTTGGGGAGTCTATCAGTCTTATACTGCAATGCCAATAAAAATTGTGATTTCTTACCGATTTGGATCAAAATGTACCAATCTTATATTATTATGGGCACGCCTTTTTCTGTGTAAACTATACTAGCTTCATTCATATTTGACTTCGATATATCTTTGACTTATTCAAACTGTGATGCTTATGATAAACAAATTAATGCAATTCATACTCAAACCAATCCAGAAACCTCTGCTCAAACTCTCAGCTCCAATAACTGATCAACAGTTTTCAGTCGTTCAACAAAAATGTCCCAGAGTTGGAATATATCTAATTCCTGTGAGTTAATAATCCGAGCAAAACGATTTCATTTTTTTCCCAGCTGTCAAATTACAGAACGCTCCAAATAAATTGTGTCATGCTCTAAATGACATTGAAAAACGGCTCCGGAGGTATACAAACAAATAAATGTGATTGTAGAAAACATCTTTAGACTCCACATTTCTCAGATAACTGATATTGTCGTGATAACACGAGAACCGCACTTTTTTAAAAGTTGGATTCAAACACGCTGTGGCGTCCATTGAATTAGCAAAATAGGGTATTATCAATATTGAGAAAATTCTCAGCTCTATAACAAAATTTTTTTCTGATTCCGTTGTTCCGAACTCAAGCCAAGCTTCGTAGAAACTGCTCCTGGTTCTGACGTAACATGAGTCAAATTATTTTGATGCATGCGAAATTCAACTCATTATGAACTGACCAAATCAAAAAATATTCATTTCAGATGACACAAAATTCATTTTTCAACAATAAAACTTCAGAATCGGCTATGTGGCAGCACACAATCTTTGGAAGTGATTTCGGCTATCCGTTGGTGAAATTCATCAAATATTCATGTATCTCTATGCGTATTCACTTCAATTGATGTATCAGAAGACTTTTTTTATTTTCACTCAAAAGCATAGTTAGCAGAATGAGTTCGGAAGATTGAAGAAATCGGTTTGGTTAGCGATTGAATAGAGTACCCAGGCAACCAGATGACGTTTCAGTGACGTCTTTTTTACGTCAGGTAAATGACCAAGGAGACGTCAGTAGTTGACGTCGCATGAGGTGATAAATGACGTGAATAAGTTACAGCCCAATGACGTCATATTACTCACGTCGTATTGACGTCATTCACTCATCAAACTGTGACGTCAAAATGACATTCAAATTTGGTGATGATATGTGAAAGAAATTCCTTTAATATGGTGTGATAAACACCACTGGCCTCTGATGACATAATATATAATATTGATTATGCATTGTTGAGTCTGCTTGGTGGGTCCCTCCAGTGTCATGTTCATTCAATCGCCTATTCAGCAGCGCTATCCTTTAGTACGCATCTCCATCAAAATGCAATCAGTTACTCGTATTTGTATAATAAATTATGTAGTTTGTGTCGACGAGATGAGGGCAAACCAAGAATAGTTTGATAGCAATGGAAAGAATGTTGGCGAATTTGGCTTCACTTTGTTGAATAATGTATATTCATGCATTCTTTGTCACCCAACTAAAATCAAAATAGCAAATTATTGAAAAATTTTCTGAATGTCGAAGCTCACCAAATTGGTATGTCACACCGACGTGAATTTTACACGTCATAGATACGTCATTGCAACGTCATGAGAGTGACGGTTTCAATATAAGTATACCTGAACAATCATATGTATATATATATACATAGGTTGTTGGCTACCGAGATATGCAGTGAGTCAAAGTTAAAAAAAAAAGTGTTCACCTACTTTTCGGGTAAATTGATAATTTCAATAAAACTGGCATGTCGATTTGCTTTCATGAGTTATACTTCTGTTTCACATGATGATATATAAGTATCCATGGTTGATAGGGGGTCTGGGAGAAATGGTGTCGACAGGACGTCCCTGCAACGTCATGAAACTGACGTCATATTTCACCATCTAAGTGACGTTCACTCGACATCGAAACGATGACGTGTGTATCACGTCATAGACAGTGCATCACAGTGACGTCATAAATTGGTGTGTGACGTCTCTGACGAAAAAATCACCAATTGGGGACGTCACAGTGACGTGATCATCCGTCATTTGGTTGACTGGGTACTGTGAGCACTCAGCGCGATGTATACGTTCTGCATACATTTCAGGTGGAGACTATGTTGACTATATTTAAACGGAGAAATTCAGGCGTGTTTCTATATCGTGTATTCCTGCAGTGTCCGATTCGAACAAATTATTTATTAATGCTGAATACATTTTTCAGAAATATGCCCACAGAATATGTGCATTCATTTATACAGGAGTCGTTTTCAGAACACTCGAGACTCTTCGAATGATGAATTACTGTAGATGTGAAGAACACTGCCAGAAAATTAGGAGAGGATGTAACAACATCAAATGGAGTTACTTTTATCTTATCGTCATTATAATTCCTACTCATCTGATGTTCACACCATTTATAGGTGATGGGCATGATATCTTGTGTCATTATAATGTATCGAACACAATTATGATGAACTTCATCATCATGCCGTTGCTATCATTGTTCGATGGATATGTTATTGTTATGATAGTGATGTGTTTCATGTGCCTCGTATACCACCTCAAATTTCAATTTTACTTCCTTCAATCATGTCTTGAAGATATGAAAATAAGAGACATCGATTTTGATTACCTAGAGAACGATGAATATCAAGAAATGATTAAGAGAAAGCTGAAAATATGCGTGGAATATCATATCCAAATAATAAGGTGAGTTGAATAATTGAATCTTTTTTAAAATGTATATTTATTCTCATTCTTCACCATTTTATAATTAATAAACAATATACGTCATATGAACTGCAAAACGTGTTGTAGACTGATAGATAATAAACCAATGAAGGAGATGTTATATAGCGTACACCTAAACATTGAATAATTCATAAATCGGAGGACAGTCAGATTTATGTTATGCTGAGTTGATGAAACTCTAAGTCACCTTGAAATGGCTTGATTTTCTGCAATTGCGTACTTGTGTCGATAACTTATTTTATGACTTCATCATCCTTATACCGCAACATGATTGATATACAGGGTAACTCACGGTCGATGGAACGTTAGACGTTTATGGAGAACGGGACATAGGATCATTCTGGAATTCTGGTTACTCACGTAGTTGCTCTTGGTCTATCGATCTAAAATATTGTCAGCTCTGCGGCGTTGCCGCTTTTATCGAAAAGTAGCAACAACTTTGTTATTTTAAATGGAACACCCTGTATTTCATCGCATTTTCAGCTGATTCCATCAATGTATCACACTTTGGGTCTAGCGGAAATGATTACAGAGATATAGGGTGTGAAAAATCGACATTTTTCAACTTTGGGATTTTTTTTCAAAACGGCTCACATGTCCCTATCTCAACTTTTGATCAACTATCTACTGACATTTAATTGAAACAAATACAGGGTCGTGCAGAATTCAGAATCTTGATCACCCGGTATATGTCCCAATTAAATATCAGTAGATAGTTGATCAAAAGTTGGGATAGGAACATGTGAGCCGTTTTGACCAATAATGAATGGTTTCGACAAAAAAAATTCCTAAAGTTGAAAAATGACGATTTTTCACACCCTTTATCGAAAAGTAGCAACAACTTTGTTATTTTAAATGGAACACCCTGTATTTCATCGCATTTTCAGCTGATTCCATCAATGTATCACACTTTGGGTCTAGCGGAAATGATTACAGAGATATAGGGTGTGAAAAATCGACATTTTTCAACTTTGGGATTTTTTTTGTCGAAACTATTCATTATTGGTCAAAACGGCTCACATGTCCCTATCTCAACTTTTGATCAACTATCTACTGACATTTAATTGAAACAAATACAAGGTCGTGCAGAATTCAGAATCTTGATCACCCGGTATATGTCCCAATTAAATATCAGTAGATAGTTGATCAAAAGTTGGGATAGGAACATGTGAGCCGTTTTGACCAATAATGAATGGTTTCGACAAAAAAAATTCCTAAAGTTGAAAAATGACGATTTTTCACACCCTATATCTCTGTAATCATTTTCGATAGACCCCAAGTGTGATACATCGATGAAATCAGCTCTTCAAAGAGACTCTAAAAATGCAATAAAATACAGGGTGTTCCATTTAAAATAACAAAGTTGTTGCTACTTTTCGATAGAAGCGGCAACGCCGCAGAGCTTAAAATATTCTAGATCGATAGACCAAAAGCAACTACGTGAGTTATCAAAAGTTCAGAATGATCCTATGTCCCGTTCTCCATAAACGTCTAACGTACCATCGACCGTGAGTTACCCTGTATAAACGTTCAATTATGTATCATAAATACAAATATTTCGTCCGTCACTTTGAAGTAGCCGTCAAATAATATTATATGGTCACAAATAAGCGACAAAATTCGAGAAATTGACCAGTTTGATATTCACATAACTGGAAAATGGATGATTCAAGTTCAGATTTCCGAAATGATATCGAGGAAGCAGCACAAAATGCACTATTCTCTTCGTCCATCCATATTTTCATTTCATAACTGGTGTTAAGATGAACAACTCATCACCAGTTATGTTATATCTTGCCTCACGCAACTGGTTACGTGAAGTAAGACGTTTAAAAACTCCCGTCAGTTCCAAAAAGTGTAAAATTACATGTCAGAATAAGGTGTTTGCCTCCCCTTTGGCCTCAGCTTGAAATTTTCCTACCCTCTTTGTAGATAACCCTTTCCAGATAATATAACCTTTTTTTTTTTATTTCGAAAGTAACACTACTCGAAATGTTAACAACAAAATTTTCGAACCTCACGTCTTTCAAATAACTTATGATAAATATTGTCTCACGAAAATTTTGAACGTCCGGCAACATTGCGCGCACGTGTATCGAACCCTTGATTATAATGATCAAACTCTTCACGCAATCGGCCGCATTCGTGACGGGCCGTCAACCTCTGGGAAGTTATTCTCAAAGGTCTCCCAAAATTTTTTTTTTCACAAAAATTTATTCTTTCATTTCGTTTTCGTCTCTTGTGTTATTACCCATTCCATTTATTTCCTCAATTTCGGATACTCCTGGTATTGAAGGGCTATCGACAGCAGGGAAAAGAGCTCACATGCAAAGTTTCTCCTGATGAAATTTGCAAAAATTCATCCTTTGTTCGAAAATGGATGTTGTTGCATGAATCTTGGGAAAAATTATCGAAACAGCATGAACCATGTATAAAAACAAGGAACATCGCCAATATTACTACTGAACTGAGTTTATCTTCATTCAGGTCAAACTGTAAAACTGCACTCAAAACACTAAAAGTCAAACTCAGCCGTAACATACATAACAAAACAAGGACATTATACATGGACCTTCTAGGGACGTTCCTCATTTACTAGGAGGATATACATGAGACAGTTTCTGTTGGAACACTTGCTGAAGACAATATCTGAACATTTAATGGCACTCGAAAAGAATCTATCAGGAACGTCCCTCTAGTACGTTCTAGGGATATACCGGGTGCTACCTACAAAACCCAAAGATATTTCCTGGGGAAACTGTTACTGAAATAGCGAATCTATGGACGTTCTCATCGATATAAGGACGTTCTTGGGATAACACTAAGATTTTTAACCAACGTAGCAGTCAATTTCGAAACAAAATACAGAATCGCATAGTCATATCGTTATATATCATTATCATTTAGCATTTTATAACAAGATCCGAACAGAATCGTCTCGATCGTGAAATGAAATAAATCTAATGTTTCCTTGATTCTCCTCATTGAATTTTTGTACTTCATTTCAGATTAACTGAAGAGTTATTTGGGGATAAACATGCTCCAGCTCCCTTCATGTCTATTTCAATTTCCGGAATACTCGTTGCTGCTTCAAGTATCTGTTTCCTGAAATATGTGAGTAGTATGTTCAATCGATAGTTGCAAATTGCTGACAGTTCGAACATCAGAGAGGTTGTAGATCTGTTCATTTCGGTTTCCTTGAATCTGGAAGTCAAATCCATTTGATTAACTATCCTGTTCATGACGAAGAATAAGTCGAAGGTACATCTTCAGAGTGTCATTCACACCTATCACTCTCATTTCTTCGGCAAGATAAGATCCATGAATGATACAGTGCTACCTTTCATCGAGAAAAACTGAAGCTTCTACATGGAAATGATGTTCATTCATGAAACATGCTAATTGCTTGAACCCCACTCGATAATTCTCGATATTGTTATCATATCGCCCCTGATGGAAGTTGTTATGCTGCGGCGAACTATTTAGATTTTGGGGTGATCTTGAGTACCTATAATAATCGATTGTGGAATTTTCACAGTCTCTCACTCAACTTCTTATTATTTCCTCAAAAACTCGTTCGTCTATAGAACGACGAAGCTTAGTAATTCTTTGCCAATTAAAGTATTTCCAAGAACTGATGATAACTTCCAGAAGTTTCAAAAAATATCCAACATCCATCTTCCTATCATTTCTAGGTACGCACGAGGTATCACAGACATTGGAGGAATCTCCTCTCGTGCGCCTCAAGACGTAGAAAAAATCTTGAAATTCTATAAAGAACTACGATGCCTTATGCTTCATTTCATGTTTTGCCCATTTCCATCTCGTATTTGTTCTGAAATATATACTCTTGTACTCCTCTTTTCATCTTTGTTCTTCTAGCTATTTTTTTGAACTTTGGAACATCGAATATGCTTGGTAAGAGGCACTTATCTTCCGGTTTCCCTGAAAATAACATCAATTTTCGATTATTGAAAGGAATACCCTAATTAATTGGTTTGAGTATCATGACGAATTTAATGATACTGAGTTCTGATTCGGTTATTTCAAAGGAATGAGAAGATATTTGCGTTCAATGTTTCCATATGATGTCTGGGTCTGACGTCGCACTATCGAAACTTTTATTTCTGTCACACTCATTGATCATATAGAAACTTCGAACGCAAATATCTTCGTGATCGTTCAAAATTTCCTTAGCAAATTCGATTTCGTTGAATTCGTTATAATAATCTCGAACAAGATATGGAATTAAATATAGGAAGTTTTATTCGAAAATCTCAGAAGTTGATTTGATTTCCAGAAAGTGTCTTCTAGTGGGCATATTCGATGTTTCAAATTTCAGAAATATAGCTACAACAACAAATGAGAAGAGAGGGGTACCCATGAGTCTGTATCGCCCGGTATAAAACGATCCCATTTCGAACTAGAGATGCGAGGGTTCTCGTTTGATTGCTTTCATTAACTAACAAAAATATTGTTTCAATTTTCTGTCTGAATTTCTATTTTCATGGGTTGAAAATTCATTCGAGGTCGCGATTGAAGGCTTACATGATATACTGGCCGTTGAAGTTTTCTCCTATCTCCATTCAGAAAACTGAACTATCGTGTGCTGTCTCTAGACGCTAGTTATTATCAATGAAGTTCCATGGTTCTGATTGGTCTGTACTAATCTATTCGAATAGCCCGCACATTAGTGTGAGCCAATCTGCAACTGTCAAGTGTCAATTCCTATTTTATGGTTATGGTTACTCATAATTGTAGTCACTGTTGAGAATGAAAAACAGTGAATTCTCATTTTTCCGTGAATTTGTAGAATTAAGGTGATTAAAACTATGACAACCATGTATGGTAAGTCTTTTGAATTTACGTGTATTTCACAAACAGTAGTATAGTGGTGTGCTTTAGTAAAACTAGTAGAACGAATACCTACCTAGTTGAATTTGACAAGACGATGGGATGTCAGATTATTACGCCATCCTACTGTCATCATTACTCTTATTACTCGATTCATCACAATAATGTCTGTCATTAAATGTTGAAAATCGAGTTAGCAATGTATGAATGACTCCATAGTTGTAGATAAATAATTTTTTTCCATTTCTGTTTATAGAATGTCGTTTCGCAAAACACTAGTCGTGGCTGCAACGCGACAGATGCCCATTTCTATCTTTCTATGTTCGCGTTGTGGAACGGTGACAAAAATTCATGCAGAAAGGAGGTTGGAATTTGGAATTGATTGGGATATTGCTGATAATAATTTCTCTCCATCTAATAATCATTACGGAGTTCTGAGAAGCTCTCATCGAGAATTATACTATTCTCTATCAAGGATGCTAGTTGGAAGAAGGAGATGAACGGATATTGTACGGATTATGAATGTATCTGGTGAATTCAATTTATTTATCATTCGATGATCAAGTAATTGACGCAAACTTTTTCTCGAGGAAGATTATGTAGGATACGCATTTGCTTCTTGATGTGTGCTATTGAAGCTGAAGTATAGATGGTTGCAAAGATGTAAATCCATACGAGTATATTTAGAAAATTGTTGGGGATTGTTCTTCTTGGACATAGAGGTGTTGCTTGAAAGAAACTTCTCGATTTGAAATACTCATTTGGAGGTTCCATATCTTGATCTGACGACATTTCCGATCTGCGATAGTCCAGATTAACATCGATTGGTAGAATTGGACAACCTTCAACAGATTGACCCACCCTCGTGCTCTAAAACATTGCCTATTGCAAAAATGATACTTGATTATCCGAACACAGATAATAATACAAATCAATATGGCAAGATTGGCGAGTGTCAAATTCAGGAAATCTATAAATGCCCACTCCATTCCATCGTCTTATAGTACGGTAACAACAAATCAGGGGCTAGTTGCGTTGCGACATACCGTATGGTATAGATTATTTGAATACATTTTTGAAAGATACAATGTTGAATCCATTGTCGATATTTGAGGTATACGATGTTGATTGTTGTTCTATAACAATGGGGGTGAATTTGATCTGGAATATAGGTCATTCGGTACTATTGCTGATACTAAATTTTTATACTACTCATGATAATTTATTTTTTTACAGGATATAAGTCCACAAGATAACTTCCGCATAGTTATGGCCCTACTAACAGCATTAGTAGTCTGTATTTCATTTTGCATATCAGGGCAGCTGCTGAGTGATCAGGTATAGTATTCGTGACCGCATAGACAAAATACAATTTTATAACACCGAACACCAAGCACAGTGAGACTGCCGGGTTGATCGGTTAATATCAAAGATTGAATCTTGCGGTACACACGGTTTTTGTCCTACAGTTTTTATAAACTCGAAATGGCCTTATCAGATTCTGCCTAACTGTTTCCGTATATGGGATACTTCGAGAATCCAGACTTTTTGGACCCCTTCTATATTTACGAAATTATAAGAAACAATGCTGCTCTCATAACTTCGTCTAACAGAAAATCTAGCCCAATTCAGTAGCGTACCAAATTTTTGTTTTCGAGTATGGTTCTGGAGATTCGACATTAACTTATTCAACTTTCCATGGTTTCCCATTATTTTGGAGATTTGTTATTTTTTCCGCTCCAGAAGGACATACTTCATATACCTAGGTGCTGAAAAAACACTCGCGAACATTGAATTATGATGAATTCATTATCGGAAAATCGAAATCAATAGGCATTTAGAAAAGAATCACTTGTGTTCATACGAGTCGATGCATAGATTTCGGGAGGATTTAATTCAATGTTCTGCGTGGCATAAGCCAGGAAATTAGTTGTTTTTCTCCCGAAATCTACCATTGTTGTTTATTTTATGAACATAGTGTGGAAATGACTGAGCTTTCTGTATTTATTTAACATCTCATTCTACTTTGAGCATTGTGGCTATTTCATAGTTGAAATTATGCCAGTCGGGTAACCAGCCACTCCCGTAAGAGAATTATGGTGTTGGAGTGTTTCTTTCCTTCTCTCTGGATCAGATGGCGTTGCTCTCAAATTGTCTATGGGGGACGCCTCTGGGTGAATTGAATGCCGATTTGTTTTTTTTTTGGTTGGCTTTGCTTAGTCGGTGGTCTTAATACTGCTGACTAAAGACTGCTCTGCACTGATGAAAGTCGAAAAGCTCGAAACCGGTCCGTAGGTATCCAGCATAGCCTGGCTTAATCGAAATCAATAGGCATTCAGAAAAGAATCACTTTGAGCTTTTTGTTTTTATTCAAAGTCCTATACGTTTCTTTACTGAATATATATTCAGAAAACAATGAAAAATATTACCTTGTGTTCCAAAACGGTAAACTTGTAGGTTTGAAATATTCCAATAACAACTACAAATTTTTTTTTCAACTTCTTGCACTTTATTGCTGTTTAATAAATTCAACCATCCAATGTTGTTTGTGAACAAAGTTTACACGTCGTTTGTTAGATAATGTGAAGTCAACGTGGGCGCATGGACTATAGCAGACGCATGTGAGATACTCATACATGCTTATATACAGAGGGTATCATGAAATTATATAAAAATATTTCAACGACAGATTCTCGGAACAAAAATAGTGAATATAAGCATGAGACCAGAAATTGCCCCCTGGGAAATTATAGCTTTATGAAAGAGGACCTCTTTTTCTATGTAATCTTCGCCAGTTTGGCCAGGAAATATGTAAATATAATCGATTTTGCCTAAAAATGATACTCCTGTCAGTTTCGACAGCACTCACCATTTTCAATATGAATTGATTTTAAAAGTCTGTTGCGCAATCAAAATACTTTTCCTTGATAGGGTCGTACCTACCATGATATTTTTCAAATTATTCTCTTTATTGTTTCTTTCATATTTGGTACCCTATTATGAGGAAAGAGAACTATTTTCGTTAAGCAGCAGACTTTTAAATTCGATTCATCTCGAGAATGGTGAGTGCTATCAACACTAAACAATAGTATTATTTTCAAGTAAAAATGATGATATTTTCATATTTCTTGGTCAAACTGCAAATTGCATAGAAAAAACATGTTGGGGGAAGAAAAGATGGCTATAACTATCCAGGGAAGCATTTCTGCGCTCATGTCGATATACTTTTTCCATACGCGATCGCTCCGGCTGGCCACCTTGTATAATTCGTGGTTGAATTCAGCTAAAAAAAAAACTTTCAGAATCAGGGCTATGAACAAGCATAGAACAAAATTCATGATAGTTGAACGAATACGTAACGTCGGGTAGAGAAATAGATATCACCACGTTTGAACCTCATCAAAAGTAGCCTTCGATAAAATCTCCAGTTTTTCTGTATCTTTCTTGATGACGTAGAAAAAAATTTAATACATTTTCCACACAGTAACTTTTTTTGATATAACTGAAGAACTTAAGACAATTTTGAAAACTTCCGAAGGCCGTTAGTATAACCCTCGGAATGCGCAACTTTTTTCCATTCTACCGAATTTGTATCTCCTCCCGTTTTCGAGATGCCCATGCTGGGCAACCTTATCTTGTTCACACTATATGAGTATTTGATTAGTGATTATCAAGAAGCAGAACACCACATTATCTTCTGCGATAGTTGATACTGTTGTCATTGGTGATATCAAATCTCATTAGATAAATACAAGTTATACGTAAGGCAACGTCGAAATATCTTGATATGCTGAGTGATCGTCCAGGGGCTCGTAGTATGGGAATGGATCTTATATCTTCTTCATTCTTCTTCATCCGTATTCATTATTTTGATAACTAGAGGTTTTTTCACCGGAATAGGGGCAATAAATTGAATATGTGATGAAAAATGAAGAAAACATAATATTATGAGATGATTCAGGAAATTAGTGATCGTAATAATAGCACACCTTAGTGTTTGCTTTAGGTGAATTAGAAAGCACTGGAAGTATCACTGACGGATACAATGTTGTCAGACGTTGCATAATCGTTTGAAGATACTGTTATTGGGAGTTCCATCACTCATCAAGCGATTCTAATCTTGTGCACACTCTCTTTCAGTGCAATGAATTTCATCAACAACTATCATGCTGTCAATGGATATACTGGAATAAACAAAATAGAACTAGCCTTATCATTCTACTTGCTGCCACTGCAAATCCTTTGAAAGTGTCCTTTCTGGGACTGTTGGATCTCAACAATAGTTATATGTTAACGGTTAGTATTCGCTACCCGTTTTTTCACACTTTCCACTTGCTGAAATTGCATTTCTGATGTTTCAGATATTCAGAGCGTCTTACAGTTTATTAGCCGTAGCCAGACAAATGGAATAATCTGAACGAGCACTTTTAGAATAATTATTGTCGTTCACTTCACCATCTCAGATATTCGGTGAATAATAGTTACAGCACTTCGTCATCCTGCACAAAATAAAGTAATTCATGAATGGATTGATGATGAGCTGTAATGTCATTGTTTGATTCCTGAATGAATTGGATAAAGTAAGTAGGCTTATCATATTATCTCTCTCTTTTTGTCACAGAGAAGCTTGGATCCTTCACCGTATGTCACGGTGAAGGTGATCCTTTCTACATCTGTACGACGGGGGTGAATGAGCTACACCCCTAGCTACGTTTCCTTGTGGGATATGTGGAGCTGTGGGGTTTAGATTAATGCGAATTGTACTGGTATGCAAGAGGTGATCTGACCATAGAGGAAGTTATATCGAAGACTGGAACCTTTGGCACGATAATACACTACACTGTCTTACCACTAACCAAACCGATTTTTTTTTCGCCTCGACACGTGTTTCGCTAACTATGTTAGCATCTCAAGGAGAAGATTAAAACTAACTATCCTATTCTGGTGTGCTGCTTATATGTATACTAGGTATATGTTCACCCAACCGTGAAAAATTGATGTTTGTTATGATTGAGTTCACAAGTTAATCTTCATTTTTATGTACATCCATGATATATGTAATATTGTCATTACTAACGTCATTGAAGGTTGGGAAGTGTCACATTACACACCTCTACTTCCCGCCCTCATTTCATGCCCTCACTCATGTAATAATTCAGGTATGTTCAGAACGAAACATAGATTCATTAATTTTGATCGAGATATGATGGTTGTGAATAAAATAGTATACAAATCTCGGTAGGAAGTTTCATTTGCGACTCGGTTATCTAACTGATCTCACGACAGGAATGAATCACTTCCCACCTCGGTGTGTAATATACTATAGCTATTATATTACTAAACTATATAGAGGGCTATATGGAATGGATCCATTATCCTTATTCATTACTCTATCACCATCTATTACTATTGTTGAATATTTCTAAGCTTTCATATGCGTCTAATTTTCTTATATTATCAATTTGCTCAACTAATTTGAGGTCAGTAATATGTGTGTTATGATTGTGATTGAGCATATGTTCGGATTCACACAATTCATCTAACCTGCCATATTTCAAATGTGCTATGTGTTCTTTGAACCTTGTTTTTAGGGGTCGCCTGGTTTGACCTATATAAACAGGGTGTCCCTCCGGGAACTGAATCGATCAATATATAGAAAACGATAGGTGGGCCGAATATTGTTGATAAGTTTTATGCGGCTGAAATATTTTGAAGATTGTGGCACTGCCGGTTGTACCGGAAGTGGACCCCAACTTCGTTATTTCTAATGGAACACCCTGTATTTTATTGAATTTTCATATTCTTACTTAAGAGCTGATATCATCAATGTTGCGCGTTCGGAGGCTCATACCAACAGCCTTCGAAAATTTTCAAATTTTTTTTTAGTTTTTTAGTTACTTATATCGAAAAAAGTGAATTTTTGGAATCTATATTTTATTTTTTTTCTCCGTTATTATCAGAGATACAGGAACTGAGAATACTTATTCATTGCAACTTTTGATGACGTTTAACGTGGTGATACCGATTTTTCTATGCGACGTTTCGTATTCGTTGAACCATCATCAACTTTTGTTTTTTGAATACGGCTCTGATAATTCTTTCACAGATTCTGATAGCTTTTTTTATTCTGAATTCAACCATGTATTATACAAGGTGGTTTGAATGTGTTTCGAACTAATTTTAGCCATCATCAATGTTTTTTTCGAAATTCCAAAGAAAAAATGCCATCAGTTCCACTTATTTCTGATTATTCAGTGTCAAACATTGATGGGCTAGTTATTCAATACTGAAAAGTGAAAAAAAATCCACTGAATCATTCAATGCAGCGCTTCGAATTGTTTATGAATTGTATTCATATTTTAATCCGAAGGAGCTTGTCATAATTAAATTTTTCGAACTCATTATTCCTATAAGTCTATCAATCGGAACTAGTTGATGAGGTATTAGTTTGTTGGCGAATTTTCCTTCAAAATAAGTGGAACTGATGGCATTTTTCCTTTGGAATTTCGAAAAAAACATTGATGATGGCTAAAAATAGTTCGAAACACATTCAAACCACCTTGTATAATACATGGTTGGATTCAGAATAAAAAGAGCTTTCAGAATCTGTGGAAGAATTATCAGCGCCGTATTTAAAAAACAAAAGTTGATGATGCTTTTACGAATACGAAACGTCGCATAGAAAAATCGATATCACCACGTTAACCGTCATCAAAAGTTGCTATGAAGAAATCTTTTCAGTTTTCCTGTATCTCTAATAATAACAGAGAAAAAAAATAAAATAGAGATTCCAAAAATTCACTCTGTTGGTATGAGCCTCCGAATGCGCAACTTTTTCCCTATTTAACCGACTTCGTATCTCCTACCGTTTCCGAGATCCCCATGCTGTGCAACCTTATCTTGGACAGACTGTATAGGGTGTTCAAAATCGAAATTTTTCAATTTTAGGATTATTTTGTGTCGAAACTATTCATTATCGATTAAAACGGCTTACATGTCCCCATCTTAACTTTCAATTCACTATCTACTGACATTTAATTGGAACAGATACAGGGTGATCAGAATTCTGAATCTTGAAGCACCCTGTATTTTTTCCAGTTGAATTCCAGTAGATAGTGAATCAAAAGTTGAGATAGGGACATGTGAGCCGTTTTGATCGATAATGAATAGTTTCGACACAAAAAAATCTTAAAATTGAAAAATCTCCATTTTGAACACCCTATATTTCTGTAATCTTTCCTGATGGATCCCAAGTGTGATTCATTGACGGAATCAGCTCTACATTGAGAATCTGAAAATGCGATAATATACAGAGTGTTCTATTTGAAATAACGAAGTTGGGGTCCACTTCCGGTACAACCGGAAGTGCCCCAATCTTCAAAATATTCAGCCAGATAGCACTTATCAACAATAGTGAACTACCAGATTTCCAAATTCGGCACATCTATGGTTTTCTATATTTTGATCGATGTAGTTCCCGGAGGGACACCCTGTATATAGGCCAAACATACGTTCAATCATAATCACAATCATAACATACATATCACTTACCTCAAATCAGTTGAGCAAGTTATTAATATTAGAAAATTAGAGGCATATGAAAGCTTAGAAATATTCAAGAATAGTAATAGAGAAATGATTAAGGATAATGGACCTATTCCATATTTATAGCCCTCCATATAGTTGAGTAATATAAAAATTAAGCACACTAGAATACGATAGTTAGTTTTAATCTTCTCCTGAAGATGCTAACATAGTTAGCGAAACACGTGTCGAGGCGTTTAAAAAATCGGTTTGGTTAGTGGTGAAACAGTGTAGTGCATAGAGGAAGTTACAGCAAAAAAATTACGAGAGTTTGAATAAGGATAATACAATTCAATTAAATGAAGCACAGTTATCAAGTGTGGAATGAATTGAAACAAAATCAGTGTGAGAGAGAGTGTAAGAGAAATCAAATGAAAATCAAATTCGGATGAAAGGAAACGACTTTAACTTAAAGTCAAGTGAAACAAGACTAGATAGTCATACATACTTTATAAATTGGATATCTACAGGGTTTTTCCAAAATGAAGACAATAATTGAAATAGGTATTGGGGAATGGAAACACTTCATGGAAATTTTGATCGATATGAATCTCTGAATTTAAAAATTTTTTTTTGTTCTAAAATTTGTTCTATCCGTCATTCGGTTGCCCTTTTACGAGCAACCCTCAAAAGTCTTCGAAAGTCTTGTGCGAGCAAGGAATGATGGGGGCCTTACCTTTTAACGTGTGATCCCAAACACTTTCTTGGGCCATCAGAAAAATTTCTGCAGTCGACGGGGATCGAACCCACGACCGGCAAGCGAATGCGAATTAGAATATAGACACTCTGTCCGCACGGCTACCTGGCCACCAAAATTTCAATGTACATTGTTGTCAGATGTTCCATAATTGTTCGAAGATGTGGTGTGTTGGGAGTTCCATCTCTATTGAGCGATTCTGATCCTGTGCACATTCTCTTCCAGACCAATTGATATCATCAGCAACTATCACGCTGTCAGTGGATATACTGGAATGAACAAAATGGAACTAGCTTCATCATTCTACTTGCTGTTACTGCAAATCCTTTGAAAGTGTGCTTCATGGGACTCAGATCTCAACAATCGTTATATGCGAACGGTTTGTATTTACAACCTTTATTTAACACACTCGAACTAATGAATTCGCATTTCTGATGTTTCAGACAGTTCACAGTTTATTAGAAGTAGCCAGACAGAGTAAATAATCTGGACGTGCACTTCCAGAATAATTTTCATTCACTTCAACATCTCAGATATTCTATTGATAATGTACACTACTGCTTTATTCTGCATGAAATAAAGACACCTATTCTATATGAGCGGTGCTGTCAATTTTTGATTCCTGAAAAATGATTACATCACTCCTATATCCTGCACAAGATAGAGTCATTTATCAATGGATTGATGAAACAACAAACAACAACAATTATTTAAAGGAAGAATAAATCTCAAAATCATCTCCTTGACATTTAATGGGTGAACAAAATTATGTTGCAAAAAGGGGGGACATGTTTCGGGCTTATAATAAGCCCATCATCAGCCAAGGTTTATAACATCCTACAAAAGTCTAAACTAGTAACAGGAATATGGTAATAGTTGTTATTACTGACACGAGGATGAAGAATATTCTTCAAAGTTGTTGAATAATATTTTTTAAATGGTAAACATATTATAGTATCAAGAATATAAACAGGTATTTTCATACCCTAAGTTACCCTCAGGAGGTTTTCATTAGGTGATAATTCAAAGATTTTAAAAAATTTCCAAAAACACACATGAGTGAGACTTGAGTGAACTCTAGGTTAGCTGTCACTGAGAAATCGGGAAAACATGAGATCAAACGTCAAACTT